AATTCTTATATGGATATAATCCTCAGTGCTGGCAGGAAGTCAACCACCACCTTTACTTGCATCAACAAAGGGGTCAAAAGAGTGGAGGTTCTGGANACTCCACTGAAAACCAGGCTATGGCTCTTTCCACCCAAACCTATGCCCCAGCCCTCCCAGCTCTCTGCCTAGCAGGCATGTAACCCCCAAAAGCTGCCCTTGAGAGGCTTCTGCTCTACTCAAAGCCACCCTGACTGAGTAATGTTTTTAGGTTTAGCTTCACACTCCCCTGCTTAGTCTGACTCTGGTCTTCAGCTCTCCAGCTGCCCAGGCATCAGCCCAGGTCTGCTGGTAACCAAAGGCTCCTAGTCCCCTTCACTTCACCAATGCATGGCACCCTGAGTCAGACTGTCCTTCCTAAGAGCTAATCTCAGTCTCTCAGGTTACAATTCTCCTACTCCATCCCTTCCCATCTCATGGCTTAAATACAGGGAAGAATCTGGCAGCAGGTTTATTTGGTTTGGCCAGCATAATGTCTTCAAAATGTATTAATTTGAATGTCTTTAGATGGGGCATGCCCTTCCTCTCTAGCGGGCCCACAGGCCCCTACTCCCTGCTACATCTTAAACTCAATCACATCCACATAGTTACATTACCTGCTGGCCCCTTTGAAACCAATCTAAGACCACCTTCCTTTCCCCCATCACCAGCCCCCCACCCCCACCTCTCTCCCTGGGTACTATCCTTCAGAAACCATTTTGGGAAATTTCTTGAAGTGAATCACTGGATGCGGGAGAGGGGAGCTGCATCTAGTCACTCTAGGCACAACAGGAAAATGGGCAGGGTTTGTCCAGGTATCCGCCGGGGGAACTTTGGAGGCCTGGATAGTAATGAAGACAACCTTGGGGAACCAGAACAAGTTAACAGAATGGTGATCAACTTTTCCGAGCCAAAAAGGGGTTCATGATCTACAGCTGGGATAAAATATTTGAAATTGGGACCTTCTCGAAAGTCTAGAAACCATGGTCACCAGAGTGAACAGGCCCTGCGATTGTTCCCTTCTTGTTTAAGTGAGAGGACAGGAAAAAAGATAGAGAAAATGAACAGGAGTGGGCATTCAGAAAACCCCAACTAGACTTCTTCTGGCTCTTTTGATCACCGTCAGAATGGTGATGGCTTCTTCCCCACTCCCGATGTTTCTTCCCACATGGAGGAAGCTGTACTAGTCAAACACTACTAGCCCCTCTCCTCCTTCCACACTGAGAAGGAGTGACTTAAACTCCTTAGTGGATCTGGAAGCAGAAACTGGGTATAATCACCCCCTTCCCCTTCCCTCTGAGACCACATCCTGCTCTGCCCTTCTCTGCTGGGAGCTTAGGACAGGAGGCCCTACTGCTACAGTGGAGGTCTGCCGTGGTGCAGCATTGCCTATAGCTGTGTGTGCAAGGCTGTCTAATTCTGGGGTTCAGTATTAGGTAGCCCTCCCGTTAATGATACACATCATCTTCTCCAATATAAATCTCATCATTAATGAGAGCGACAGTTGAGTCTCCCATCTGCTTTGCCCTTTGTCTTCTCTCTCAGTTGATACAGAACTTGGGCTGGGAAGTAGGGTGCTAATTATAGTGCTCCCTTAAACCCTGCTAATCCTGCTGAGCCTAGCTACTTACATCCCAGAAGGAGAAGACAGGGTGCTTTCTGTAAGCAGTCTCAATGATCAAATATTCCCGGAACCCCCTGAGGCCTTGGCGGAACATTTTACACACTCGGGTCATGACAAGGATATCCAGGATGAGCTGGTACAGCCCCTGTGGAAACAAAACAAACAAGAACAGTGGAAACCATCTGTTTTCAACCATCAGCAGCAGGCTGGATGATGCTGAATAAGGTGAAATGTAATACGATTAAATGCAGTGATGTGCTGGAGCAATGGTTACATTTTCAGGAAGTTTTCAAGACTGTTGAAATCATGTTGGTAGCTTGAAATTGCCCACAGTGGGAATATTTATGCCACATAAATACTGGCAATTACTACAAATGGGGCATCCCTCTCCCCAAGAGCCAGTTGTTAAAACATTTACCAGCCCAGCTCCAGTTAAATGTCAAGTCCTTCACTTTGGTGCAGAAAATAAAGAGCACAAGTAGTGGCAGGAAGTGAGGGGTGATGCAGACAGCCCGAACTTGGGAATCAGATAGACCTGAGGGAAAAACAGTCAGATGCAACATTGTTGGCTTTGAAGACAGAAGAAGGGAGCCATGAGCCAAGGGATGTGGCTGGTGTCTAGAAGCTAGAAAAGTCAAGGAAATGAATTAATGAATTTTTTCCTAGAACCTTGAGAAAGGAACGCAGCACTGCTGCCACATTGATTTTAGCCCAGGGAGACCCATGCCAGACTTTTAGAATACATAAGATAATAACTTTGCATAGTTTTAAGCCACTAAATTATGGTAATATGTTAGAGCAGCAATAGAAAACTAACATAACACCTAATCCAAGATGGGTCATCCAATCTTTTCCCTGGGAATTTGGAATTAAAACTAAGAACAAATCCCAATTATCAATTTAGGTAAGGGCAGTCACCCTCAACCAGCCAAGTAAATACAGGCGATGAGGAAGCAAGTTCAACACCAAGAGACAAATCCAGAATGTAAAACAATCTACAAGTCATTAACCCAGTTTCTTCAAAAAGTCAATTTCATGAGGAGACAAAAAAAAGAACAAGGTGTGGGGGCTGCTCTAGATTGACTTAAGAAACATACAAACAAATGCAAAACATGAACCTTTATTGGATCCTAATTCATCACAATAAGCTGAAAACCATGTTTTAGGAAAAAATAAGGAAACTGAATATGACTGAATATTAGATGTTATAGGGAATTAGTTTTAATTTTGTTATGGTGATATTGTGTTATGTTCTTATTTTTAATAAAGTATCATAAAGTATGCAACTTTCAAATGATTCAGCAAACACAGACCCATGCACACAGGCAAATACATAAAACCAATATGGCAAATGTTGATTGTTAGATCTAAGGGGCGACCATTATATATATTTCAACTTTTATGTTCAAAAATTTCCATAATTTAAAAAATGCAAAAACTTTTATTAAATTTTATTTTAAATTTTATTGGGGAACAGTGTGTTTTACCCAGGACCCATCAGCTCCAAGTCAAGTTGTTGTCCTTCAATCTTAGTTGTGGAGGGCACAGCTCAGCTCCAAGTCTAGTCACTGTTTTCAATCTAGTTGCGGGGGGCACAGCCCACCATCCCATGCAGAAATCGAACTGGCAACCTTGTTGTTAAGAGCGTGCGCTCTAATCAACTGAGCCACCCAACCGCCCCTGTTTATTAACTTCTGATAGTAAGAATATCATAAACAAAATGAAACGACAAACTGAAGACTGGAAGAAGATATTTGCCCTGCATATAATCGACAAAGGATTACTGCCTAGAGCTACAAAGTATTTCTATTACAAGGGATAACCAGCCAGAATCTTTTTGAATTTAAAAAATTCTACAAATCAAAACAACACAAATAACCCAATAAAAAATAAGCAAAGGATATAAACAGGTAATTCAAAGGGAAAACTTAAATCACCTATAAATAATGAAAAGATTCTGAATACCACTAGAATTAATGAAAATGGAAATTAAAGCAACAAGATACCATTTTGCACTTTTCAGATTGGGGAAATGAAAAACATGGCACAACTATGTAAAGGTCATATTTACATGACTATGTAAAGGTCGATTTGGCAATATTTTTAAAAGTTGAGGATGTATGTCCTTCACAATCAAGAAATTGTATCCACATTATGTATACACTATAGAGAAACTTACACATGTGCGCAAGGACATGACCATGAGGATGACCATGGCACACTGTTACAGTGGGAAGCTGAAAACAACTTAACTGCCCACCAGTAGGGGAATGCATCAACATGTTACAACACAGTTAGAGGACTGAACATAGCACTAGAGCTGTGTATGTCAATGTGGGAAAAACTCACTCATAATTTTGAGTGGAAAAAAGGTAAAATACAATGCCCTTCATGGTACCATTTTAAAAATATGCTGTATANTCCTGTCTGAAGGGCAAAGCTTGGGTAAACTTCAATGCCCAGTGTCAGACACTGGCCAGTCTGGAAAGGTGAAGAAACCCAGAATTTGGATGACTTATACTGTGCTTCATAGATAATGGGGCATGAGAAATTAGATTATGCCCAGCAGAGGCACGCAACAGAAGCCACACCTTGGCTCCAAGGTGGAAGGGAGGGGCAGGGTGGCACAAATGGTCCTGGTAACAATTCGAAAGCTTTGTCCTACCCCCTTTTCCTGAGAGAAAAACCAACATGGCTACTCCAGGCCAGGGTCAAGTCAGATCTACATTGGTGAGAACTTCAGATCCTCCCTATAAATAGGTAGGTCCCTTTAAATTTTAATTTTAATTTTAAATTTTAATCAATGTCCAGATTTGGTAGGGAGGAGCTGGGACGATACCCATGATTCTTGGAATTCAGAGAACAAGTCACACAGTGCAAGGCCTCACTCAGATATAAGGCATTTCCTCATCAGAATGGCCGTCCTACACCCAGATTGGGGACAAGTGTGCCAGCATCTCTTGGAGAGCTTGGGACAGAGCCAGAATTCTCACACAGGCCAGGGCTTTTCCCACCACCCTGATTATTTCTCCTCCATCAAGGGCTCTCACATCCTCTGCTTTGCCTTCTGCTGTTTTTCCCCTGGGTCCAAGAGCAGGAGCTGTCCCCTGCTGGTTCTGCTCAGCTATAAAGCAACAATGAGTTCACGGGGACTCACAGCCTTAAAATGCCAGGACTAGAAGGGATCACTGAGATCAGCTACCTTATAGATGAGGAAACTAAGTGGCTAGCTCAGGGTGACACACTGGGTTCGTGGCATTTACAGGGCTGAACCCGGCTGTCCTGATGCCCAGCCCAGTGCTTCTTCCATGCCATGATGCAGAAAGAAAATTCCCAATATCAAGGTCAGAGCTATGCATACCGACTCTGTAACGAAGTCCATGGTATCATATGTGATTTGGCCTTGCTTCTTCTGGAAAAAAAAAAAAAGAAGTAGTAGTAGTACGGGAGAGAAAGGCGAATCAGCAAGATTGCTTTTAACATTCTGCATTGAAACCCTTCTTCACACCTTGACCACACAGCAGGCAGGAAGCCATGGGAAACCTCCCATCAGCTGGGCCTCTCTGTCCACTTCAGCTCAAAGCCCCAACTCAGCATGAGGCCTGGGCACAGCAATGACAATATACTAGTGTGAAGAGAGAGAAAGATGGGAGTGGGGAGAGGGAAAGGAAGATAAAGGATGGAGAGGAAAAAGAAGCAAACAAATGGGAAATTCGAGGGAAAAAAGAAACCCAGAAAGGAGGGATAAAATGGAAGAAACAAATGAAGCCAACCTTCACTGAGTGCCTATACCAAGCCAGGCACGGTGCACCTTCCTTATTTTATTCCATTACATCTTTAGGACAAAGCAGGTGTTATTAAGCCCCATTTTGGACTCAAGGGGAGTGAAGGAACTTGCCCAAGGATCAACACCAAGTAAATGGTCCTTGTCTAGAGGACAGCCAGGAGGAGGAGGAGGTGTAAGAGATCTTAGGGATGAACTGATCCAACCCTACCTCCTAAATGATGCAGGAGGATGTGGAAGGAGCAGGGAAAGGGGCGAGAAAGAGGGGAAATGTGTAGGGGGATGTAGGGGGCAAGGAAAGGNTATAACATAACCACATTTATTTAAGAATGTATTCCAATATCAAAGGCAAATTTCAACAATGCAAAAACTGCAATTACGTTTGCACCAACCTAATAGCACCAGACCTATATATTACTCCAAAAGTGGGAGAGGAAGGCAGGGAGCAAGAAAAACAAAGGGCAGATGAAAGGCACTCACCAGAAAAATATTAACATGAAACAGATGATAATCATGAACAACAAAGAACTCAAAGGGCTGAGTGGATTTTAAAATAAGAGATCAAAGCAATGACATAGTTCAAAGAGGAGAAGATTAGACATCAGGAGGAGATGGCACTGGCAGAGCTCGGGAATGAAGTGTTTTTTAAAAAAACATCTCAGCAGTGAAGTCATTTTAGACACATCAAAAAGGAAGCTAGCCTTACTGAATAAAGAGGATAGGATTGCAAAAGGCAAGTGAAGGAGTTGGAAATGAACAATTAAAAAGGAGCCAGAAAATAATATCGCTCACAAGTATGGAGATAATAGAGGGATGTGAGGTAACATTGGTTTATGAGGAATGAGAATTACTCATCACTGAGTTAATTACAAATATAATCCAGCGAGATTAAGCACCCTAGACCTGTTATCTGCAGCTCATCAAAACATCAAAAGACAAGACAGATCTTTACCCTAAGATCAAACATATTTGATAAAATAGGTCATCAAAAAGAAGAGATTAAAGTCAGCAGAGAGACCAGAGCAAGCTTCTTAGACTACATATAAAATTTTCAAAATGGAACGTCCTGGAAGCTTTTTATCCAAACCACTGTATTAGCTGAACCTGCTTCTTCATCACGAGCACAGCTGGCCCCCTGGAATAATGTACATACTGTGTGGTGTATGCAAATGAAATTACAGAATTACTAATTCTGTTGAAAATATGAATTTCTTGTCCACTTGTAACTTATCTTAAATTTTTCTATTTAATATCTCACATTAGGGCCGGCCAAGTGGCTCAGTTCGTTAAGAGCGCAAGCTCTGAGCAACAGGATCACCGGTTCAATACCCACATGGGCCAGTGAGCTGCGCCCGAGTTGAGCTGCTGCTGAGCTGCCAACAGGTGGCAGGATGGCTCAGCTGGTGAGAGCACATGCTCCTAACAAGGTTGCCAGTTCGACTCCTGCATAGGATGGTGCGCTACACCCACCTGCAACTAAGATTGAACACAGCACCTTGAGCTGAGCTGCCCTAAGCTGCCCAACAGGGCTGCCAGATGGTGACTGGGCTTGGAGCTGAGCTAGCTGCGCCCTCCACAACTAAGCTTGAAGGACAACAACTTGGCTGTTCCCCTTCCCCAATTCCCCAACACTGTTCTCCTTTCCCAATAAAATCTTAAAAAAATAATAACAATGCAAAAAAAAAAAACAAGTGTTGGTGAGGATGTGGAGAAACTGGAATCCCTTTGCCTTGTTGATGGGAATGTAAAACAGCAGAACTGCTGTGGAAAACAGTGTGTGGTTCCTCAAAAAAGTAAACATAGAATTACCACATTGTCCAGCAATTCCACTTCTGGGTATATACCCAAAAGAACTGACCACAGGGATTCAAAAGAGGTTATTTGTCACCAGTGTTCATGTCAGTATTATTCACAACAGCCAAGAGGGCGAAACAGCCCAAATGTCCATCGATAAATGAATGGATAAACAAAATGCAGTATTATGTACAATGAAATATTAGTCAGCCTTAAAAAGGAATGAAATTCTGATACACAGTGCAACATGGATGAACCCTGAAGACATTATGCTAAGTGAAATAAGCCAGACACCAAGGGGCAATATTGCATGATTCCACTTATAGGAAGAACCTAGAAGGGCCAAATTCAAAGAGACAGAAAACAGAACAGTGGTTACCAAAGACTGGGGGTGGGGAGGGAGGAATGGGGAGTTATTGTTTAAAGGGTACAGAGTTTCCTCTTTTTTTTTTTTTTTTAGCTGAGCCATTCTACTACCTGTTGGCAGCTCAGTGGCAGCTTAGCTCGGGCCGTGAATCGAACCAGCGACCCTGTTGCTCAGAGTTTGCACTCTTTTTTTTTTTTATTAAGATTTTATTGGGGAATCGGGGAAGGGGAACAGACCTAAGTTGCTGTCCTTTTGTTCTTCAGTCTAGTAGTGGAGGACATCGCTTCACTACCCCATGTTGGTATTATCATTGCGCTCTTCCCGGAGGAGGCAGATCAGTCACTGGCCACTGGGACGGTCCCTCATGGTGACTCTTGGCAGCTCACGCCAGCTGCCGGCACTCATGGTAGCTTTACAGCAGCCCACTGTAGCTCCACTGCAGCCTACGCCATCACCGGCNGGGCTCTCCAATTCACCAAAGTCCTCACTTCACACAACTACATCACCTGCCAGGCACATTATTTGCAACCCTCCGTATAGGATCTGTATGGTCTCTCTTTCAGGTCTAGAATCCTTTGACTATAACCAGTGGTTGCAAAATTGTGGTTCACAGCCCATATTTAGCCTGCTGGCATGTTTTGACAGAGTTTTGGGGGGTTTTTTATTTGAATTAGTTGTTAATAGCTAAATACTGGGGATTTTATAATTTTCTAGGAAAACATAATTTATCAAAGTGACCCCAATAGAAGCCATCTAAATAGACTAGTTTCCATAGAAAAAAATAGAGGAAGTTGTAAAAGAACTCTCTCACCACCACTACCACCAACAAAGAAAAAAGTACCAGATCCTGAAGATTTCACAGGTAACTTGAAATAATGATGTTTCTTAAACTGTCCCAGAACATAAAAAGAAGGAAAATACCAAATTCTTTTTATGAAAGAGAATGCTGATACTTAAAATATACTAAAGGCTGCATAAAAAGAGAAAGCTACAGATTCATCTCATTTATGAGTATTATTTTTAAAATCATAAATATAAGCAAATAGAATTTAGTAGCATATTTAAAAATAACATATCATCCAAGGCATGCAAAAATGGTTAACAGAAGGCCAGCTGGGTGGCTCAGTTGGTTAGAGTGCAAGCTCTGAGCAACAGGGTCGCCAGTTCGATTCCCACATGGGGCAGTGAGCTGTACCCAAGCTGAGCTGCCAACGGGCAGCCAGATGGCTCTTAACAAGGCTGCTGGTTCGACTCCCACATGGGATGGTGGACTGCGCCCCCCGCCTTCTCCCCCTAAATTGAAAGCGGCAACTGGATTTGGAGCTGAGCTTGCGCCCTCCACAACTAAGATTGAAGGACAACAACTTGACTTGGAGCTGATGGGTCCTGGGAAAACACAATGTTCCCTTCTCCAATTCTCCAACACTGTTCCCTTTTCCAATTCCCCAATAAAATCTTTTTTAAAAATGATTAATAGAGAATCCAGAAATATAATGTTATGTTAGCATGGTTAAGAAGAAAAATCATCTGATCTACGTACACTAAAAAAATTGTATTTTTGGGGCCGGCTGAGTGGCTCATTGGTTAAGAGTTGGCTTGGGAGCACAAGCTCTGAGCAGCAGGGCCACCAGTTCGGATTCCACATGGGCCAGTGACACTGTGCCATCTACAACTAAGATGGTTAACAACAGCTCGACCTGGAGCTGGGCTGCCGTGAGCTGCTGGCGATGGCGTAGGCTGCAGTGGGGCTGCAGTGGGCTGCCGTGAGCTATCGTGAGTGGCTGGCAGCCAGCGTGAGTGGCCGGCAGCCGCCATGAATGGCTGTCCAATGGCCGGCGACTGACTGCCTCACCCAGGAAGAGCGCAATGATGATGCCAACATGGGCCAGTGAAGCAACGACCTCCACAACTAGACTGAAGAACAAAAGGACAGCAACTTGTCTGTTCCCCTTCATCAACACTGTTCCCTACCTCAATTTCCCAATAAAAATAAATTTAAAAAAATTGTTTTTGACAAAGGCACACCAATGAACATGTCACTCTTGTGGGCACCTGGGCCTCCAATGTGCTGGGACCTTATTAAGACTGCACAGAGCACGCCTGAGCTATCCCATTGGCTGGGAGCTGTTCCTGGATGCATTCACTCACCAGTATTTCTGGGCTAAACAATTCAGTGGCCAGAGATATCCCCCAGCAAAGGTGCTTAGAGTAGGAGGTCATCACGTAGGCCTGTGCAGAAATGGCATGTGCCCAGAAGACACATAAAGCCGACCAAGAATGCCTGGGGCTGCAGGTCTCAGGGAGAGCTGGCAGAGTTCGGAGTTCTCCAAAAGCCATGCACCTGGAAGGCAAAACCAATAGCACCCTCTGTAGAATATTGGAGTCATGATGTAGGGCTGGCTCTGGAAGCTTCCCTGGTGCCAGTGGTACCAAGGAGAATCAGGGCATGTGGGCTGATCAATGAAAC